TTTTCGAGAGAATTATTTCTATACCAGAAAGTGCTCATCGTCCTATGTCGTTGGAGAAAACTAATTAGCGACAGAAGGCTTGGAGAGTGCCTCCAATAAGATAACTTGTTTTGACGTGTCCACATCTCATCCTTAGACTTGTCATCTGCTCAACCTAGTTGCCTTCGAACTCGAGCACTCCCTGTAAGGGGAACCACAGCAGGAAACTAAAGATCAATCTGAAGAGTCAAGAACATAATAACTTGTCCTAGTATCTGTACTTAACTGTGGGGGGGGGGGATTCATAATGTCAGTATAACGATGGGCTTAATAGTAAGAATACTAAAATTGGGAATTTATAAGGAATGATTTAATATTATCAAATTCTTTCTCTAAAGCGGAAGTAGTGTGAGATAGCATATTCTATTGTTATTTTGTTATGGATTTCTTTACCGTTCGTTTATTCATTCTATCGCTTAGTTAAGCTCTGAATTTTTATTTACTCTTAAACGCTAACTCACCTTCTAGCTAATTTCTTTAATTTGTATGAATTATGAGACTGACATCAGTTTACCCCCTATCAGTGACGTGCAGATATTAATATTGGTAAAGAGTACGTACATGATATGTTATTTAATTATTACAGATTAAATGGTCTTGGAACTCGAACTTCCTTAAGCTGAACTAGAACCGAAAGATAAAGTCGAATAGATAAGAAAATGGTTTCTCCTTGTACTGCATCTGTACTTAAACTGTGAAGTATGTCAGTATAACGTTACAAGTAAGGACATAATTTTAAACTGATTAATGTAATCACTTCTAAAGAGGAAAGTGTGAGGTATAAAGTTTAATTTTATTTCGTTTTGGGTCAGTTATTATTCATTCTATCATCAATTACTTAATGTGTAAATTTTTAGTTTTCATTATAATTATTCACATCAATTTGAATTATGAAACCGACACCAGTTTTCATATCGGTAACTTATAGATGTTAATGTCTGTAATAAGTATATAAATAATGATCACTATTTCAAATCTCTTCATCTAATTAATTAGAGCACCTTATCTGGTCTTTAGACATAACTTCCCATAACCTGAATCAGAGCAGAAGGTAGAGAAGCTGAAGATCGGAGAACACTAGACTTTTTATTTGTAAGGTATATGTACTTAAACTGGGCAGGATTCATGGTGTCAGTATAATGAGGTCATTAAAATAGTAAGGGTACTAAAATTGGGAATTTATAAGTAGTGATTAATGTGATCACTTCGATTTTCAAAAGGGGGAAGGAATATGAGGTAGCAAATTATATTTCGTTATGGTTTTGTTTTCTATTCATTTATTCTTTCTATTGTTTATTTTACCTGTAACATTTTTACGTTTAAACGCTACTTCGCATTCTAATCAGTTACGTTATTTAAAGTTTCTAAACGATATGAGACTGACACCACTTTCCATTACCGGTAACTTGCAGATATTTATATTGCAAAAGTTTGTAAGTGTTAATATGAACTTTTAATGTTTTGAGTAAAGAATTTATCATGAGTTTCAATAACTTTTCCCACGTGAGATAGTGATAGTGTTATTCGATGTTTAAAGTTTTATACACGTTTTTCTTCCGTTCATTTTTCTGTTTATTTATACAAATATTAAACTGTTATTGGTGGTATATTCTTTCGTGTTAGTGGGAAGTTCTGGCCACTGGTTCATTCATAAACTGTATGCAAGCTATTTGATAGTTTACAAGGGGTTCAAACAAGGACTTTTTGAAAACAAAATACTTAACATCACCTGGAACCGTAGATGAACGAACAGATCTACCTATAAATATTATACAGAAGGCAATATCCAACTTTGAAAAACACCGGATGCTACAGCGACAACCTTACTCCTAATAGTCTTTTTCGGACAAAAGTAGGTAAGTCACTACTATCGTTAATACATCAGTTATATTCTGTAGTAAATTTTATTTTAATATTGAATGGACTATTCAAAGTTACTACTTGTGTTACTCCATTTTGTTATAAATTATATCATGTTAATAAGACAATTTTACGAGTATAAAATAAATATTTTTCTCTAGTGAAAATTCTGTCGACACCAGAGGAAATGCTCATCGTCCTCTGCCGTTGCAGAAAATTTCAATGGCGCAAGAAGGCTTTGAGATTGCGCCCTCCCTCCGTCAAGATAAAGTACTTATTCTGGTGTGTCCACTTCTCACCCTTCGTCATCTACGTCCTCTACTTAACATGAGTAGTCTTTGAACTCGATTACTTCCTGTAAAGTGAACCAGAGCAGGAAAGTAGAGAAGAAGATTCAAGAACATGAATTATTTCTCTTTGTAAGATATATGTACTGAAACTGTAAATGATTCATGATGTCAGTGTAATGAGGCCGTTTAAAAGTAAGAATACGAAAATTGGGAATTTAGGAGTGATTAATGTAATCACTTCGGTTTTCGAAAGGAGTGTGAGGGAGCAAATTCTTTTTATTTTGTTATTGTTTTGTTTTTTACAGGTAACTTATTCTTTCTATCGTTTAGTTAATCTGTCAATTTTCAGTTTACACTTAAACGCGATTAGCTAGGAGGTGAGTTAAAAATGAACGTTTATGTTCTAAGAGTTATCAGACTGACACCAGTTTCCCATATCGGTGACGTACAGATATTTATGTTGGTAAATAGTATGTAAATAATGATCATATGAATTAATCTGTTCTAACTAGTTAATTATTGCAGCTTAGCTTGTCTTTGAACTCGAGGATTTCCCGTAACTTGAGCCGGAAGTTTGAGAAGTTGAAGATTGAAGAATATGAACGGATTTTCTTTGTAAGGTATATGTATTTAAACTATGTGGGATTCATGATTTCAGTATAACGATGTCGTTAAAAGTAAGGATAGGAAAATTGGTAATTTAGGATTGATTAATCACTTCATTTTTCGAAAGGGGCAAGGAGTGTGAGGCAGCAAGCTTTATTTTTTATTTCTTTGTGGTTTTGTTTTCAGTTCACTTTATTATTCTTTCTATTGTTTAGTTAATCTATGATATTTTAGTTTACATTTAAACACTAACTCACCTTCTAGCTAATTACGTCATTTAAAGTTTATAAGAGTTATGAGACTGACATTAGTTTCCCTATCTGTGACTTGTAAATAATAATGTCGGAGAAGAGTGTAAATAATGTTAAAATACATCTTTAATCTCTTGAATTAGTTTCCCTTATCAGTGACGTACAGATATTAATATTGGTAAAGAGTATGTCCATGATTTGTTATTTAATTATTGCAGATTTAACTGGTCTTAGAACTCGAACTTCGTTAAGGTGAACTAGAACCGAAATAGAAAGTCGAATATATAAAAATGGTTTCTCCTTGTACTATATCTGTAGTTAAACCATGTAGGATGTCAGTATAACATTACAAGTAAGGATTTAATTTTAAACTGAATAATGTAATCACTTCTTCTAAAGGGGAAAGAGTGTGAAATAGAAAGTTTAATTTTATTTCGTTTTGTATTTGTTTACAGTTATTTCTCATTCTATCATTTAGTTAATCTGTAAATTTTTAATTTGCATTTTAGTTATTTACATCAATTTAAAATTTTAATTATGAGACCGACACAAGTTTCTCATAGAGGTGGCTTATAGATGTTAATGTTGGTAATAAGTATATATAAATAATAATCACAATATTTCAAATCTCTTGATCTAATTAATTATAGCAACTTTGCTGGTCTTTGGACTTAACTTTCTGTAACCTGAATCGTAGAGAAGCTGAAGATCTGAGAACACTA